GAGCTGCGCGAGGCCCGCCAGCGGCTGCTGCGCCGGTGCTTCGGGGACGAGCCGGTGCTGCGCCCCGCCGCCCAGATTCGCACCAAGCAGCTGCAGCCTTGGCAGCCTAGCCGCAAAGTGGACATCATGGGCTATGACCTGCCGGGCGGCGGTGCTGGCCCCGCCACGGAGGCCTGCCTCAAGCTGGCGATGCCCGAGGTGCAGTATTCAAACTATCTGTTGCGGAAGCAGAAGCGCCGAGGTGGGGTGCGGTCGAGGCCGGAACCGGTCCTGGATAATCCTCCCCCTCGACCCATCCGAGCATTGCCCCGCATCCCCCAGGGTACCTGAGTTCTGTCTGCCTCCTGGAACCCAGGTCTTGCTCCATTAGGGCCCTTTTATTCTCCACAGGCGTGAGCCCTGTGTCCAAATGGAGGTGCATCTGCATCTGAGCCTGCCACCCCAGTGTCGCCTGAACCCCACTTTCTGGGATGGCATTGATGGGCCACCCACTCCTCCTTCCCACTTGGTTGGTGACTTTGACAAGAGATCCAAGGGTGTTCCAACACTGCCTACCCTGCCTTTTTCTGGGGACTGAGAACCCCACCTGTCTTCTGAGGGGCTGAGCCCCCACCTGTGTGAAGTGGATGACCACAAGCCCCAGTGAGGGACTAAGTCCTGGGAAAACGCCGTGCTTCCTGTCAGCGCCTGGGCTTTTGTTCTTCCCAGAGCTGCAGAGGTCCGATACTGTCTTCCAGTCTACTTCCCTAAACACCTAAGCTGCTCCCAGACACCCAGAACCAAGAGTTCTTGGGTTGGGCTTTTTGTTTGGTCCTTTCTCCTCCTCCTTGGGTTGGGCTTTTTGTTTGGTCCTTTTTCCTCCTCCTCTTCCTCCTCCTCTTCTTTTTTTTAATAAAATAACTTTAAATGTGTATGTCAGTTATTGAAGGTCAGAATCTCCAAGTTTGAAGATGAGGCAGATCTTTGGGGGATGCTGTGGCTGGACCCAGACTTGATCAAGCTGGCTGCCCCTTCCAAATCCTTTGACCTGGCATACCCACAGGGACCATAGCCATCTGGGCCCCACTCATTTGCCAAAGTGTCTCTTCTCATTCAATTCAGCCACATCTCCCTAGCATCAAGTTTGGGAACACAGATGAACAAGAAGACCTCGAACCTCAAGGAGCTCTGAGGGCACAGTGGACAGAAGCAAGCCTGGAACTACCACATGGTTTTGACAGGCTGGGAGCAGGATTGCTTCCAGGTAAGGGGGTGGGGCTTAACTCCAGTCTTACCTTCCCCTGTAAGGCCTTGATTTCACCACTGGGCATTTCCTTATCCACAAGAAGATATGACTTGGATAATGATTGATTCCTCTCCCCAATTTCCCTTAGCACAGCTAAATACTCTACACTCTGAAATAAAATCTCCCTTAAAGAAGAGCAGAGAGGCAGGGCATGGTGGCAAATGCCTTTAAGCCCCAGCACTAGAGAGGTGTCAATTTGAAACCAACCTGGCCTACATAGTAGTAGGCCACTCAGAGCTATATAGTGAGACCCTGTCCCCCAAAACAAACAAAAATGAGAACTAGGAATTCTGTTGCTTTCTCTAGCTACCTTGAAGTAGCTAGGCAAGTGATAAAACAATAGCTAACACAGCCTTCTATGTGCCCGCTCCTACTTTAGAGCTTGGTTTGAATTGATTTGTGAGATAAACACTATTTCCCACAGGATGGAACTGTACCTTAGGTTAAACGATCCAGTCCCACAGCTAGAAAGTACAATCAGGATCTGAACCCAGGCCCTGCAGCTTCAGTACCTGCTCACATGTGCAGTTTCTAGTGTCATTCAAATAAAGAAGGTCACATGCCACAGGCTGACCCTTTGGACCTTCTCCCCAAAGAATGTAAAGTAAGACACTGCTATCAGTTTTTATTTTTCAGTGAGACAATGGTTGACTTGTTTGGGCAAGGAAGGTTGTAGAGGTTGGTTGGCAAGCTTTCTGAAACGTCATCATATTATCTGTTTGCTCTTAGTATAACAAAACTCCTGAAACTCCATGGCATATGAAGGGAGAAATCTCTTTTGGCTCAGAGTTCTGGAGGCTCAGAGCATGGCACCAGCCTCTGCTTGGCTTCTGGTGAGGGCCTCACGGCAGGACAAGCAGACGAAGACAAAAGAGGAAGAAACAAAACAATATGGCACACTCTCACAGAAATTAATTCCGTCCCCAAGAACAAGTACACCCAGCCAGTCACTTCTCACAGGTCTACATACCTACCTCCTCTCAACACAGTTACAGATCAAACTTCAACACAAGGTTTGGAGGCGACAAACAATATGGAAACCACAGCTCTTTGAAGGGGGCTGTTTTTGTAGCACCCCACTTTTCGTCAGTAGAGCTGTGGAAGGAGCAATAATTAGTGTCATGCGAAGCTATAATTAGGTTTCTCCTGCTAAGCAGAAATAAAGAATTTTACTAGACTCAAGGCCATCTATCTAAGACAGGTGTCCTCTGGCCCCCAGGCCTAGAAAGTACTCACTATTCTGCCACCTTCCTGGAGCTCTAGCCTCCGGTCATACCTCTGCAAGAACTGTCCTTTATCCTGCCCTTGGTTGCTCCAGAAAATTCAGACATGCCTTATATCTGCCTTGCTGGGCCTCTCTTGTGCTCCCTGGCCCTTGGGCATAGCCTTTTTTTTTTTGTGTGTGTGATATATATTTTTTATTTTACAATACCATTCAGTTCTACATATCAGCCATGGGTTCCCCTATTCTCCCCCCTCCCACGCCCTCCCCTTACCCCCAGCCCACCCTCCATTCCCATCTCCTCCAGGACAAGTCCTCCCCCGAGGACTGTGATCGACTTGGTAGAC